CCAAGAACCTCTGGCAGAGTCCTAGGGGGAAACAGCACAACTCTGTCCCTGCCCTGCTCTACCTGGCTTTTCCGATCTATGCCTCCAGCACGACGGGTTTATAAGAATTATTCTCTCTGCGGCTCTCACCGAAATCCCAACCCCGTAGGACAAACGGGCTTTTAAAAAACAACATACTGTGGCTTATTCCAGACAAGATATTTTCCTGGCTGGGCGAAAGAGATGAGGCGAAGCAAAGGAGGCGGATTCGGCCTGTGCCAGGCGTGTCCTGCTACCCCAGAGCCAGGCGTGCAGGTTGGGTGTGCTCGCAGGTGTTACCAGCAGCCACAAGGGTGCTGGCCCACTCCGCATCCAGCCATGGCCACACGTAGCTCAGGGCATCACGCTTAGACTGCTGCAGGCCACTCCATATGGGGAACCCCTGAGCAGCCCAGAACGCTATCGGCGTGGCTTCACATCATCCAACTCGCGCTGCACAATGGCCTCTGCTGGCCACCTGCCTGTTTTTCGGCACAATTTGGCGTGTGGGCCAATAAAGGCCTACAAGGCGCGGGGCCAGGCTGCCTGGAAGAAGGCCTTTTCCCATAGGAGCCTTCCAGGGTGCTAAGGTCCTTCGCAGAGAGCCCGTCGCCGCTAGTTGCTACCACTACCGGGCGTGTTTGATGGGGATGAGAGAGAACTTCCCTGCCAGCTCACGCAGGCTCTGCTGCTCCACCCCAAGAGAGGCAGCCGTCGGCCCGCTCTGTGCAGTCAAAGAAGCCTTGATTACGGAAGGACTTCTGCTGAGCGCTGCTGCTGGAAGAGCTTTTTCGTTGTTCGATGCTGTTCATTACTTTTAATGATACATTTCTGTTATACTGGAACAGTTTTTAGGTTATGTTATGAGAAGAATTTTGTTTTCAGTTTGACACTTATGATTAACTGGCTTGTGTGCATTTCTTGAGAAAAGAAAGATATGTAAATCCAATCCATAAATTACCAAGCTATGCCATCGTGCATCTTTGCGAAGCACGCAAATACTGCTAAACTTTCCCAACTTTGTAAGGCTTATTGCAAACGCAGAACTTTCGCAGTTGCATAATTTTAAGTTCTACACAGGAAAAAAAATCAAGAAACTGTTTACTAATATTTGTGTCACTTTTTTCAGCGATCAATGAATTACCAAGGCAGAAAAGCGGGCAAAGAGCAAGAAAGGCGACGAACGGCGCACCCCCACCACGCGCACCCGCTCCCCGCAAAGCCATTCCCATGTGCCACTGACCATGAGGGTGCTGGCTGAGAGTAGGGTCACTCTTTGGGGCCTGCAGCTTGTAGTTCAGACAGCCAGCCAAGTCTTTGACCCACACAGAAGGGTTCTCTGGGAACAGGCTCTGGCTCCTATCCAGCTCCTTCTGGAGTTCGGCCAAGTCAAGCTAAAAGGCAAGAAACTAAATGAACGGACGGGACATCAGGAACGACCGACCGGCAAAAGGGCCGATGGGGAAGCTGGCAGGAGCCCCGCGGGCCCTCGCTCTGGCCGGGGCCGGCACTCCCTGGGGCTACCGGGACACACATGCCCAGGCGGCTGGGCGCCGGTCCCGCAGGGGAGGAGCGGGCTCGGCCGTTCGCCTGCCCGGCTTCTTCGAGCGCAGCTGCTGGGCAGGTGACCGGACAGGAACGGCGGCGCGCCCGGGCGCCTTCTGCAGCTCGCACGGGGGCCGCGGAGCTCTCCCGAGAAGCCCGGGGCGCTTTGCCCGCCCGCCCGCCGAGCTCCGGCCCCGTTGGCAGGCCGCGGGGGCCGAGGCGCGAGGGAGGCAGGCGTCCCGGGGACGGGGGTGCGCGCAGCAGGACGCGCCGCTGCCCTCCTCCGGGCGTGCCGGCGCCTCTGCCCGGGCGGCCCCCGCGCGGACCGGGGCAGCCCTCCCATACCGCCCGCCCGCCCGCCCGCCCCGGGGGCTCCGCCGGCGCACTCACGGCCCTCAGCGCGTCGTCCAGGCTGCGGAAGGCGGCGGGCCCGCGCGCAGCGCCCTCCCCGCCCGGCGGCTTCTTG